CCACCTTGTGATGTCATGAGTTGGTAGTTTTCAAGTTAACAGTTAACTTTTTACTTTTAGTTCAGTAAAGATTGGCAATTCTTGGACTGAAATTATCCAAGTGATTCTAGTGAAGCTTTTTCCATTCAAATGTTCCATCTTGTCAGTCTCGTTTGCCCAAGTTGATTCTCAGTTTTAACGCTTTGTGTTGCGTTTTTTATATGAAACACACTCTGTAAAATAAAGTTTGACCTAATTGATTTATTTTCAAGTCCTCCTTCTCTCTCTCCTCCAATACCCATTTGACAAAACATCTCCCTGTGCCATTAGAGCAGGTTTTACACATATTTACTGATACTCTAATTAGTTTATTACGGTTCTGTTTACTTTTTGATATTAAATGTCTTTTATATTACACAGAATTGACTATTGAGCTTTAAATCATGTTATAATGTTGTTATCTAATCAAAAACAGACCTGGAGTTGTGTTTTGTTTCATTGAATAACTCTTTATTATTAGTCTGTCTACATTTCCAATGCTCAAAATGCTCTGTTCCACCTTGTGATGTCATGAGGTGGTAGTTTTCAAGTTAACAGCTCCTTTTTACTTTTAGTTCAGTAGAAATTGGCAATTCCCGGTCTGAAATTATCCAAATGATTCTAGTGAAGCTTTTTCTATACAAATGTTCTATCTTCTCAGTCTCTTATTTCAGTGTTTCCCAAAGACTGGGTCGAGACCCTCAGGTCGGTCACAAGAGAGTTTTTTGTTTTGCTTTGTCACGATCTGCATATACAGGGCTACATTTAATATCCAAATACTGTGGATAATATAATATAATAATATCCACTGTGGTCGGTCGTAAACTCTGGAACGATCTGCCGCTTCACGTTCGAGCAGCTCCACAGTGCAGAGTTTTAAATCTCGTCTGAAGACCCACTTTTATTCTCTGGCTTTTAACACCGCGTGAGTTGTTGCTCCTCTGTGTCTTTTATTTATTTTTATGTGTTTTTATTGGTTTTACTGATTTAATTAATTTATTGGTTTATTTATTTCTATCCTATGATATAGTTTTATTTGTATTTATTTATTTATTTATTTTTATTTTACTGGTTTTATTTTATTTTACTGGTTTTATTTTTATTTGACTGGTTTTATATTATTTTACTAGTTTTATTACTTTAAGACTAGTATTATTGTAGTAGTTTACTTTATCATCTTATTGTTGTTATTTTTTATGTATTTGTGCAGCACTTTGGAAACAGTTTGTTTGTGAAATGTGCTATAGAAATAAAGTGGATTGGATTGAAATAGGCGACTTATGAATCCTTTTTTTTCTTTGTTTTAACTTGAGGAATACTAAATGTTCAGAGAGACACGGTCACTCAATCGACTATAAAATATCCTCATTAATGTTCAATAATGGTCAAATCCACATTTATTTTGTGATTTATGAATAATGTTTATTGACTTTGGTCGTGAAGGTTTGTGACTTTTAAACTATGCGTCCACAGAAAAAAGTCTGGGAAACTCTGTCTTATTTCACCAAGTCGATTCTCACCTTTATTTCCAAATCCTCCTTTCTCTCTCCTCCGATACCATTTGAAGTAAGATCTCTCTATTATTACAGCTGGTTTTACACATATTTATGTGTACTGTAATTATTATTTTATTACAGTTAAATTCTGTTACTATATTAAAGGTCCTATATATTACACAAAAACAGACCTGGAGTTGTGTTTTGTTTCTTTGAATAATCCTTTATTATTCGTCTCTCTACATCTTCAAAGCTCAAAATGCTCGGTTCCACCTTGTGATGTCATGAGTTGGTAGTTTTCAAGTTAACAGTTAACTTTTTACTTTAGTTCAGTAAAGATTGGCAATTCTTGGACTGAAATTATCCAAGTGATTCTAGTGAAGCTTTTTCTATTCAAATGTTCCATCTTGTCAGTCTCGTTTCCCCAAGTTGATTCTCAGTTTTAACGCTTTGTGTTGCGTTTTTTGTATGAAACACACTCTGTAAATAAAGTTTGACCTAATTGATTTATTTTCAAGTCCTCCTTCTCTCTCTCCTCCAATACCCATTTGACAAAACATCTCCCTGTGCCATTAGAGCAGGTTTTACACATATTTACTGATACTCTAATTAGTTTATTACGGTTCTGTTTACTTTTTGATATTAAATGTCTTTTATATTACACAGAATTGGACTATTGAGCTTTAAATCATGTTATAATGTTGTTATCTAATCAAAAACAGACCTGGAGTTGTGTTTTGTTTCATTGAATAACTCTTTATTATCAAGTTAACAGCAAATTTTTTACTTTTGGTTCAGTAAAGATTGACAGTTCCAGGTCTGAAATTATCCAAATTATTCTAGTGAAGCTTTTTCTATACAAATGTTCCATCTTGTCAGTCTCGTTTCCCCAAGTTGATTCTCAATTTTAGCTCTTTGTGTTGCATTTTTTGTATGAAACACACTCTGTAAATAATGTTTGATTTGATGGATTGATTTCCAAATCCGCCGTCTCTCTCTCCTCCAGTACCCAGTGTAGTTTAGTTTAGTTTCTGACGATTCTGTTTACTTTTTGATATTAAACGTCCTATATATTACAAAAATTACTCTTTTGAGCTTTAAGTCATGTTGTAATGTTGTTATCTGATCAAAAACAGACCTGGAGTTGTGTTTTGTTTCATTCACACATGTTTGAGTCACTCTTTATTATTAGTCTGTCTATGTCCCCAAAGCTCCAAATGCTCTGTTCCACTTTGTGATGTCATGAAGTGGTAGTTTTAAAGTTAACAGCTCCTTTTTTTTTCAGTAGAGATTGGCAATTTTAGGACTGAAATCATCCAAATTATTGCAGTGAAGCTTTTTCTTTACACATTTTCTGTTTCAGTGTTGATTCTCACCTTTATTTCCAAATCCTCCTCCTCTTTCATCTCTAATACCCGTCTTTCCAAATCACATCTCTCTCTCATTAGACCGGGGACATGTGAAAACCGCTGTCTTTAATTTGTCGGATCTGTTCTTTCTTTATCAAATACGCAAACGTTGGCGTGAATCTGAATCACCTCTCACCTCGAGCGTGAGACGCCGTCGGCTCTTCACACCTTAAATTCTCCTCCGCTCCGAAAAAAAAGCAAACACGGCCGACCCGGTTCTGACTGTTGAACTCTAAAATGTTGTTTACTTCCTGTTTTGTGGGCGCGCTGTCGTCTCCTTCACGGCTGCGTTTCAAACCGCGGGGGGGGGGGGGGGGGGTCACTTTAATCCAACGAACCAATTATATTTAAAGATTCATTGTGTAAATTTTCCCGGTGGAGGTTCTGTCAGATGCTTTTTCTTCGTGGAGATGTTACTGTTTTGTCCGGAATGTCTCACAGTATGGCATTAAATCGTTCTGGATTCACGGAGACCAAAGCAGAGCAAGTTACAGGTCAGGTCTGTGGAGAGGCGACCCCGCTCACAGTCAGAATGTTTGTTTGTCTAAGTATTTTTGAGCTGTAAATCCTCCTGTAATTGAATAAATGTAACACAGAGCTGTTTAAAGTCATAATGTGGAACTTTCCAGGCAGAGCAATGACGTATCCATAGAAACAAACAGCTGACTTACCCCCAACCAAAAACTTACATAGCGCCGATACGCTACAAAGTGGAAATATCAAACTACAGGTATCAGTCTATTTCTAATCGCAACTAATCAATTACTGAGATAATCAATAGACCTCTTAAGCCCAAATCTTTATTCTCAAAATTTAAAATGTGTGATATTTTAAGGTATTAAACAGCAAATACACAACCAAACAAGGTGTCATATAAAAGCTAAGACCTTGTAGATGACTGTGGTTGTGAAATTCTGCAAATAAATCATACTGGGTAAGAGAAATTTAAGTTGAAACAGTATTTTTTTTGTTGGGCATTAAACAAAAATCCTAATATTCACTGTGAGATTATTGTGAAAACTTTTGTAAGTAAGCCCCAAAACAACAACAACATTTCACAAGAACCACATGTAGTCAATGTGTGTAAATTTTTTTTAATGTATAAAGCAAACCAGAGTAAAGTTATGTTATATTTGACGATGTGAAAGATTCGCATTGTCTGAAAATCGAATTGCAATTGTAATATGTGTCATTAAATAAATATTATATGTTTTTGTTTTGTTTTTTTCAAATTGTTATTGTCCTGTTGCAAATAGGTGTTTTTGTGAGCACAGTGTTGTGAATATTTGTGATCTGAATAGTCCTGGAGTTCGATAAGTACTGTTTTTTTATTTATTTATTTATTTTTTATTGCAGATTTTCAGATACAAACAATATGAGCACCTTTTATAAAAGCAAAAACTTTTCTAGTAGAGAGTCCATTAAACGCTTTTCTCCATGGAGATATTATTGCTTTGTCTGGATTCACATCGAAAAATCAAATTACAAACGTAATACGTGTCATTAAATTGATATTATTTAAGTATTTTTTCTTTCAAATTGTTACTGTCCAGTTGCAAATAGGTGTTTTTTGTGTGTACAGTCTGCACAATGTTGTGGATATGAATAGGATTGGAGTTATTTTTTATTTTATTTTCATTTTATTTTATTTTGTTGAATTTAATATTTTTTTTATTATTTGTCTTTAATTTATTTTTATATTTTATTTTATTTTCATTTTATATTTAATTTTATTTGTTTTATTTTTTTTTTTTTTTTTATATATTTATTTATTTGCAGAGTTTCAGATACAAACAACAAGAACACCTTACAAAAGTATAAAGTTCAGTTGAAAATAAATACATAAGAGTAAATAACAACATATGGTGACCTATAAATATATAAAGGGACAATTTCAGAGCTCTAACTTAATGGAATAAAGTAAAAGTCGTACAAAAAGAACATAAGAAACCCGGCCTCTTTTCTCTCAAGTGCTTCTAACAGTTCATATTTTCTTTTCCTTACAGTTTTTCTTGGTACAGACTGTTTTCGTTTCTGTTTCTGACCTGTTTTGTCTCTGTTTTGTGTCGGTCTGCAGCTGCCTGTGGAGCATGGGTACGACGGCCAGCGCAGCGCCACAAAGCGTTTCTTCGGCCCTTAGCGACAGTCACCACAGCAACGACATGACGGACAGCCGGTCTCTAAGCTCCTCCCCCTTCCACACCGTCAGCATCCACTCCGGGAAAGCCAAGTCCATCATCACCAACAAAGTGGCTCCTGTGGTCATCACGTGAGTACTGGACCAGGACTAAACCAGGTCTAAAACAGGTCTAAACAGGTCTAAACCAGGTCTAAAACAGGTCTAAAACAGGTCTAAAGGTCTAAAACCAGGTCTAAAACAGGTAAACCAGGTCTAAAACAGGACTGGACCAGGTCTAAAGGTCTAAGAACTCTAAACCAGGAAAACCAGGACTAAACAAGGACTGAACCAGGACTAAACCAGGTCTAAAACAGGACTGGACCAGGTCTAAACAAGGACTAAACCAGGACTAAACAAGGACTGAACCAGGACTAAACCAGGTCTAAAACAGGACTGGACCAGGTCTAAAGCAAGACTAAACCAGGACTAAACAAGGACTGAACCAGGACTGAACCAGGTCTAAAACAGGACTGAGCCAGGACTAAACCAGGTCTAAAACAGGACTGAACCAGGACGGAAACAGGACTAAACCAGGACTGGACCAGGACTAAACCAGGTCTAAAACAGGACTGAACCAGGACGGAAACAGGACTAAACCAGGACTGAACCAGGACTAAAACAAGGACTAAACCAGGACTGAACCAGGACTAGGACTGAACCAGGACTAAACTAAACAGGACTCTAAAACCAGGACTAAACCAGGACTAGAACCAGGACTAAAACCAGGACTGAACCAGGTAAACCAAGGGCTAAACCAAAGAGGGGCTAAACCAGGTCTAAACTAGAACTAAACCAGGACTAAACCAAGTCTAAACCAGGACTAAACCAGGACTAAACCTGAACTAAACCAAGTCTAAATAACAACAAAACCAGATGTAAACAAGTAATAAAGCAGAACAAAGCCCAAGTCCAAGTCCATTACCTCCAGCCCTTGTTTTACGACCCTGGATTGGGTTTAAATTCTCAGACTTCCCCCTCCCCAGACACCCCCTCCTCTGACCTCTGACCTCCTGTTTGCTCCTGTTATCAGTTTATTTGTAGATCTCCACTCTGTAAACACAAACTGATAATTGGATTGGCTCTAGACTGCAGGGGCCCTAAAACGGGACTAGACCAGGACTAGTTTCTAAAATCTCCCAAGTAAAGTTAAGGCAGCCACTTTTGGGCGATCTGGTTTATAGAGACAAAATAATAATAATAAAATAAAGAAGTACAAATAATTCTGACTGAAGCAGGACTAAAGCAGAACTGAAGCAGGACTAAAGGAGGACTAAAGGAGGACTAAAGGAGGACTAAAGGAGGACTAAAGGTGGACTAAAGGAGGACTAAAGGAGGACTAAAGGAGGACTAAAGGAGGACTAAAGGTGGACTAAAGGTGGACTAAAGGTGGACTAAAGGAGGACTAAAGGTGGACTAAAGGTGGACTAAAGGAGGACTAAAGGTGGACTAAAGGAGGACTAAAGGAGGACTAAAGGAGGACTAAAGGTGGACTAAAGGTGGACTAAAGGAGGACTAAAGGAGGACTAAAGGAGGACTAAAGGAGGACTAAAGGTGGACTAAAGGTGGACTAAAGGAGGACTAAAGGTGGACTAAAGGAGGACTAAAGGAGGACTAAAGGAGGACTAAAGGTGGACTAAAGGAGGACTAAAGGAGGACTAAAGGTGGACTAAAGGTGGACTAAAGGAGGACTAAAGGAGGACTAAAGGACTAAAGGTGGACTAAAGGTGGACTAAAGGAGGACTAAAGGAGGACTAAAGGAGGACTAAAGGAGGACTAAAGGAACTAAAGGTGGACTAAAGGAGGACTAAAGGTGGACTAAAGGACTAAAGGACTAAAGGAGGACTAAAGGTGGACTAAAGGTGGACTAAAGGACTAAAGGAGGACTAAAGGAGGACTAAAGGTGGACTAAAGGTGGACTAAAGGTGGACTAAAGGAGGGCTAAAGGAGGGCTAAAGATGGACTAAAGGTGGACTAAAGGAGGACTAAAGGTGGACTAAAGGAGGACTAAAGGAGGACTAAAGGAGGACTAAAGGTGGACTAAAGGTGGACTAAAGGACTAAAGGTGGACTAAAGGAGGACTAAAGGAGGACTAAAGGTGGACTAAAGGAGGACTAAAGGAGGACTAAAGGAGGACTAAAGGTGGACTAAAGGAGGACTAAAGGTGGACTAAAGGTGGACTAAAGGTGGACTAAAACAAGTACAGAACCGGGACTGAAATCAGGCTAAAACCAGAACTTGATCCAGAACTTGATCCAGAACTGAACCAGGACTACACCAAGGCCAAGTAGGACCAGGACTAAAACTGGGACTAAAAAAATGGGACTAAAAACCATCACTGAGCATCACACAAGTACTGAGAATAAACACTGAATGCCTATAAACAAGCA